TCGGCCTGTAATTTTCGACACTTAAATTAAAAAACAAAAATAGAGATTTTTGTTTGAAATATTCAACGACAGTAATTGTTCTATATTACTAGATTTAGAAACTGTAACTTTTCTATATGAATGATATTTAAAAAGATATGCTTTTAATGTAAGTAGTTAAGCAAAAAATCCCTATTCCCAGGGTTTACCGTCAAATAGCCGCCGACTTCTCTTTTTAACGCTAAACTCTAACGAATGGCCGCCCCATTCTTCGGTCACGAAACGTGGCTCTGTGAAAAGCGGACCGAATGAAAAAACAACACGGCCGCGCCGGTCGGCTTCTTTTGTGCGGAGCCCTGTTGCTAATTTCGATAATCTATCTCTAAATTATTTCTATTCACGTAAAGTAGGTTTTATGGGCGCGAGAATTAAAGAATGCTATTATTCGTCCGACTCTGTGGTTCAGTGAGCTTTGTTAAATATGATACTTGACTTTTTAAGTAATAATAATAATCATAGAAACTGTTAATTCAAAAAAAATATATATTATAATTTATATCATTAACAATATAAATATTCTCAATTAGCAAAATATAGAAAAATGGTTGAGCGGTTGGATCACTGGGCTGTGCGAAGTCTAGCCAAAAAGGCTACTCTTACTCAACGCTCGAGTGATCCGTGCACCTCAATGACGCAAAAACAGAAACAGTTAGAGGCGCAACTAGACATATACTTTTAGGGGGGCTCAAGTCTTTTGGGGGGGCTTAGGTTACTATAAGATAAGATTCATGTGAGGTTAAAACCAATTTTACAGGACACGCACTGGTCATCTGGGGGGGCTAAGCCCCCCCTGCCCCCCCCTAGTTGCGCCTCTGGAAACGGTGCAGTACATATTATAAAATGGTGAAAAAACTCAATTTCAGTGAGGATGCGTCCATATATGTAGTGATATATATTCAGGGTCGCTGTTATACAGGGTTGTTCACCACATACGACACGGAGTATTGTAGCTAAACGATGAGATTTTTACAAATTAAGTAAGTTTTGGGTTCGATGAAGGACTATTAGAGGTACAATTTAAATATAATTTTACAAGATACAGTGTCCCAAATAAGTAAAAAATATCAAAGTTGTATTTTTTTAAATGGAACACCCTATATATTATTACATTTTTAGTTTCTACGATTAAAATAAAGGTAAATTTGATTAAGATTTATTATACTTAAACCTTACCGTTTTTGAAATATTTTCAATTTTGTGAAATTGCAGTAAAAATTTTAAGGCTTCATTTCTCCAAGGGTATCAAAGTTTTTAATACTAAATATTTACTGAAGTGTATTTACTGACCAGTTATTGTGTTACAATAATAAAAATAATATTACCTTATACAGAGTGTCTTAAGCCCCCCCTGGCCCACCCCCTAGTTGCGCCTCTGGAAAGAGTGCTAAAGTATATATTATAAAATGGTAAATAAACTCGATTTCAGTGAGGATGCGTCCATATATGTAGTGATATATATACAGGGTCGCTGTTATACAGGGTTGTTCACCACATACGACACGGAGTATTGTAGCTAAACGATGAGATTTTTACCAATTGTAAGTTTTGGGTTCGATGAAGGACTATTAGAGGTACAATTTAAAAATAATTTTACAAGATACAGTGTCCCAAATAAGTAAAAAATATCAAAGTTGTATTTTTTTAAATGGAACACCCTATATATTATTACATTTTTAGTTTCTACGATTAAAATAAAGGTAAATTTGATTAAGATTTATTATACTTATACCTTACCGTTTTTGAAATATTTTCAATTTTGTGAAATTGCAGTAAAAATTTTAAGGCTTCATTTCTCCAAGGGTATCAAAGTTTTTAATACTAAATATTTACTGAAGTTTATTTACTGACCAGTTATTGTGTTACAATAATAAAAATAATATTACCTTATACAGAGTGTCTTAAGCCCACCCTGGCCCACCCCCTAGATGCGCCTCTGGAAAGAGTGCTAAAGTATCTATATATATATAAATCTGACTGTCCTGACATGGTCCTGACTGATACTGACTCATCAACGCCCAGACCAAACCCTTGACCCTAGAAAGCTGAAATTTTGCACAGGGGTTCCTTTTATGATGTTTACGTAAGATAAGAAAGGATTTTTAAAAATTCATCCCCTAAGGGGGTAAAAAGGGGGGTGGAATATTACAATATTTTTTATTTAAAAAACGGTCAAGTTTCCGAAAAAACGCTTAAACACGTATATTTTATTTTCTTTTTTTACATATTTTAAGATTTTTTAAAAATGTATACAGGGTGTTTCGATGATTAATCACGGTCAATGATTAATCACGATCCTGCTTAAAGCGCTTGACGTAAAAAGCTGATTTTTGGAAAACAGATTGACTTTAGGGTGTAGAGGTTCGATAAGAAGGGATTTTTAGAAACTCGAATTCTAAGGGGGTTAAACTATCCCTCAAATATTAAAATATTTTTTATTTAAAAAACGGTCAAGTTTCCGAAAAAACGCTTAAGCACGTATAATTTATTTTCTTTTTTTGCATATTTTAAGATTTTTTAAAAATGTATACAGGGTGTTTCGAAAAATTGATTAATTGGTCATTGATTAATCACGATTCTGCTTAAAGCGCTTGACGTAAAAAGCTGATTTTTGGAAAACGGATTGACTTTAGGGTGTAGAGGTTCGATAAGAAGGGATTTTTCGAAACTCGAATTCTGAGGGTGTGAAACCACCCCTCAAATATTAGAATATTTTTTATTTAAAAACCGGTGAGTTTTTCGGAAAAATTCTTAAACATGTATATTTTATTTCGTTGTTTTACATATTTTAAGATTTTTTAAAAATTTATACAGGGTGTTTCATAAAATATAACCATTGAGTAATCACGATTCTACTTAAACTGTTTGACTTTTAAAGCTGATTTTTGGCAAACGGATTTACTGTGGGGTGTAGAGGTTCGATAAGGAGGGGTTTTTCGAATTTCAAATTCCAAGCGGATGAAAACGACCCACAAATATTACAATATATGTTATTTAAATACGGCGAGCCTTTCGGGAAAACACTTGGACACGCATAATTGATTTTGTTTTTTACATATTTTGAAATTTTTAAAAAATCATACAGGGTGTTCCAAAAAGTTGGGTAATTGATTAATCACGATTCTGCTTAAACTGCTTGACGTAAAAGCTTATTTTTGGCAAACGGATTTTTCGAAAGTCAAATTTCAACGAGATGAAACTACCCCTCAAATATTATACCAAGTTATATAATAATATCGCCATATTGTTTTTTCTCATGCTGACATAAATGTAAGAAAATTTTATCTTAGTTTGTATGTTAATGGAAATTCTTGCTTTGCTTGATCATCACCATTACAAATGATTAATCGGACGCGAACGAAGTCGCGGGTACACACTAGTATATTATAAAATGGTAAATAAACTCGATTTCAGTGAGGATGCGTCCATATATGTAGTGATATATATACAGGGTCGCTGTTATACAGGGTTGTTCACCACATACGACACGGAGTATTGTAGCTAAACGATGAGATTTTTACAAATTGTAAGTTTTGGGTTCGATGAAGGACTATTAGAGGTACAATTTAAAAATAATTTTACAAGATACAATGTCAAAAATATCAAAGTTGTATTTTTTTAAATGGAACACCCTATATATTATTACATTTTTAGTTTCTACGATTAAAATAAAGGTAAATTTGATTAAGATTTATTATACTTATACCTTACCGTTTTTGAAATATTTTCAATTTTGTGAAATTGCAGTAAAAATTTTAAGGCTTCATTTCTCCAAGGGTATCAAAGTTTTTAATACTAAATATTTAATAAAGTTTATTTATTGATCAGTTATTATGTTTTAATAATAATAATGTGCAATAATAAAAATAATACTTTGATATTTTTTATTTATTTGGGACACTCTGTATCTTGTAAAAACATATTTAAATTGTAGCTCTAATAGTCCTTCAACGAACCCCAAACTTACAATTTCTAAAAATCTCATCGTTTAGCTACAATACTCCGTGTCGTATGTGGTGAACAACCCTGTATAAGGAAACGGTCGATTATTAGGTAAAATATAGGAGATACCGCCCCTAAATATACAGGGTCGGTCATAAAGTCATGGCTAGGGAATGCAATCCCGCACCAAAATCCCAATCCCGCAAATCCGCGGGATTAAAGCAATCAATCCCGCGGATCCGCAAAATTGTGGGATTGTAAACAATAGTCATACATTTGGTCCTAAATGGTACAAAAGGCATTGTACATTTTGCATAGGCCCACAATACGATATTGATATAGCGTGCATCTTAAACTAGCTGTACAGAAATTTGGACCGATGTATACAGAGTATTCAAAAAATATATTTAATATTAAATAAACCTAAATTTTATTATATTTTATCTACTTATTTTATAAATAAAAATATTATTCTTATGTTGAAGTTTTTTTAACTTGTGTTAGTTATCTGGTTTTAGATACGCTCTATATCAATAATTTTTTGGCATATGCAGAATGTACAAAGCTTTTTGTACCATTTAGGACCATACGTATGACTAAAAATGCACATTTTTCGAAAAAACGTCGTATTTTCCTTAAAACAAAAGAAAATTAAAAAACCGATCAACTTGTTTTTCTAATTTCAATACAGATTCAAATTTCGATTTTGTAAAAATTGTAAATTTGCGGTAAAAAAGATTCTTGGCCAAATTTTCACACTCTTATAAAACACCCTGTATACGAGAATTCACTAAATATATTTTCGAAAACCACATAGCATCTTAATCACAATAGATGCATCTAAAACCTGGTTCAAATCGCATCCCAAAATCTTTTTTAGTTGAAGAGATATTCAACTTTAAATTTACCCTAAAATTTTGCTTGTCCCGATAATTATGTCTGGTAGTTTATTTGACGAAATTGTCCACAATTATGTTTCGCATCCCTGTTCTACAAAATAATGAAAACCAGGTAGTATATCCTCTTAGCGCGCAGCGCACCACACAGTTCAGAGTCCATTCCCGAAAGAAAAACCCCCCTCCGCTCACCCGTTCCGTCTTGGGCTCATTATATCCATTTGTGTCGCACGGTACGCACGCAGTTCGAATCGATCTATTTAAAAATGCCGCGGTCAACTCGTAAACGGAAATCAAACAGTGATTATGTGAAGTTAGTGACAAAAATTAAGAAGCTAACGGAGTTGGTGGAGAGAAAATGCAAAAGTAAGTAAATTTGATTAAATAATGAATAAATATAAAACATTTTATGCACTTCATGTGCACCATCGGTCTGAAAAATGTAAACATTATATTTGGAACATAAAAAAGGTTATTATGAGAATTAAAATACATAAACGTAATTAATAACTTATCCATTAGCAAATTAATAACGGATTATATATTGAGCAGAGAGTCTTTAAAGTCAAACGAACGCCGGCGACGCTTCGTTCACTTCTCTTGTTGTCTGTTGCTTGTTGCTATGCGCCTTTTAGCACGTAGGCGCGAATTCCATTCGCGCGCATCTCCCACTTCTCGACCGTACAGCCGCCGCTCAGGGTCGTCTTCGACGATGGCCTACGATGGTTCAGCCAAACCAGACGCGGCAGACCACTATGCCTGTAGCAACCGTAAAATATTGTTATGGTTTGTCAAACTGTCCACTTTTTAAAAATTTAATGCATTAGACTAAAGACAAAAATGTTATACACTTTATGTGCAGCAATTCTCTGTGAAAGATAAACCTAGACGTGTTTGCATAAAAATGTTATGCACTTTATGTGCAGCAATTCTCTGTAAAAGGTAAACCTAGACGTGTTTGCATTAAAAATGTTATGCACTTTATGTGCAGCAATTCTCGGTAAAAGGTAAACCTAGACGTGTTTGCATTAAAAATGTTATGTACTTTATGTGCAGCAATTCTCTGAAAAGGGTAAACCTAGACGTGTTTGCATTAAAAATGTTATGCACTTTATGTGCAGCAATTCTCGGTAAAAGGTAAACCTAGACGTGTTTGCATTAAAAATGTTATGTACTTTATGTGCAGCAATTCTCTGTAAAAGGTAAACCTAGACGTGTTTGCATTAAAAATGTTATGCACTTTATGTGCAGCAATTCTCTGTAAAAGGTAAACCTAGACGTGTTTGCATTAAAAATGTTATGCACTTTATGTGCAGCAATTCTCGGTAAAAGGCAAACCTAGACGTGTTTGCATTAAAAATGTTATGCACTTTATGTGCAGCAATTCTCTGTAAAAGGTAAACCTAGACGTGTTTGCATTAAAAATGTTATGTACTTTATGTGCAGCAATTCTCTGTAAAAGGTAAACCTAGACGTGTTTGCATTAAAAATGTTATGTACTTTATGTGCAGCAATTCTCTGAAAAAGGTAAACCTAGACGTGTTTGCATTAAAAATGTTATGTACTTTATGTGCAGCAATTCTCTGTAAAAGATAAACCTAGACGTGTTTGCATGAAAATGAAAATGTTATGCACTTTATGTGCAGCAACGCTTTGTACAAAATCAAACACTAACTAGGATAAGAAGAATTATGCACTTCATGTGCAGTCTTTAATAATCTCATTATTAGACTAAATTCTAATATTTTATCAATTTGGGGACGCTACGATAATATTAAAAATTTCAGGTGAAACGGACAGTGACAGTGACGACAGCGAGGAAACAAACTCTGTGGCTAGCACGAACTCTAGTAGATGCTTTACTCCAACAGACTTACCTTTAGATCAAAACATAACAATGCCCAGTCCTGTAACTAGTTCTGTACCTCATCTGTCCCAACATGCAACAACTAACACAGTCCAAATTGAGAACATTCTCGGTGATTTTAAAAGACCACCAAACAGGGGCCAGTCTCTACACAGTGGGATCCAACAACGCTGGGAAAAATTCCTAAAAGAGGGAGTGGATAAAGATGAAATATTAAATTTTCGATCTTTATACCCACAACCAAAAAATTTAAACACTTTATATGGACCTGACTTAAACCTAGAAATTAAAACGGCCATACCCCAGTCAACACTAAAATCCGACACATACATACAAAAAATTCAGCATGAAATCGGCATAGCTTTATGTGCAATATCTGAACCGTTAAATAAGCGGTTATTAAATGAGAACGATCACCCCACAAGTGAAATAAAAGTTTTAGCCGATACTGCAAAAATATTATGCAATGTACATAATAAATTGTCTTTACACAGAAGATATGGAATTATACAAAAGCTAGATTTAAGCATAAAAGATGGAGCGAGAAAAAGGAGAGGGTGACACAATACCGCCAACAACAGCAGCGGCGCTAGAGAAGTTAGCGGGAAGGCTAAAGGGGTTTCTAAATCAGTGGAAAAATATCACTTGTGATCCAAATGTCTTGCGAAATATTAAAGGCTATAAAATACCCTTTTTATCGAAACCTGTTCAACATAAAAAGTTAGTCAAAAATGTTACTCTAAAACTGAATTACACGCTTATACAAATGCCCTGGAAAAATTACTATCTCTAGGTGCAGCAAAACAGTGTAAACCCATTAAGGGACAATTCTTATCACCATATTTTTTACGAGAAAAACCGAATGGCGATATGAGATTCATTCTCAACTTAAAAGAACTTAATAAATTTATTCATTGTTCTCATTTCAAACTTGAAGACTATAGATCTGCACAAAATATTATATTTAAAAATAATTATATGGCCAGCATTGATTTACAAGATGCCTATTTTCTAATACCAATATGTAAGGGTCATAGAAAATACCTGCGTTTTTCCCTTAACGGAAAATTATATGAATTTACGTGTTTGCCTTTCGGGCTAAACACTGCTCCTTATACGCCTTTACCAAAGCTTTAAAACCAGTAATACACGAACTCAGAAAAGAGGGGTTTCTGTCGGTAATTTACCTTGACGACTTATTACTAGTAGGGAAAACAAAAGAAGAATGCTCTAAAAATATTAATAAAACGATAAATATTTTAAACACTTTAGGCTTCATAATTAACTACGAAAAGAGCGTCGTAAAACCGTGCCAAGTATGTAAATTTTTGGGATTTGTATTTAACTCCAAACCCTCAGAGAAAATAACAAAAAAAAAAAAAAAAAAAAAAAAATAGACAAAAAATAAACAATATAAAGGGAAAGGAAAAATGTAAAATTAGAAAATTTGCGCAATTAATTGGGTTGCTCATCTCGGCCTGTCCAACTGATAAATATTCCTGGTTACATACAAAATTATTTGAAAGAGAAAACATACATATTAAGTAAAAATGGTTTTATCTTTTTTTTTTAATTCACAGTTTAGAATAAAAAAAAATGTGTGTATTTTTTTGATTTCAATAAAAATCAAGGTAAATTTGAAAAATTCGGTAAATTTCGCATTTTTATTTCCAATACGTCCTGTAAACTATTTGTTTATTTTAATTTTTTTATATCAGAAATGCAAATAATAAAATTACTGACAATGGCTGGATAAAATTGTAATATCCCTAGACTTTTCCGGTGTGTGTATTTCCGAAGTCAGTTAGAAATACCGTATGATCAAAAAAAAAGGCGTCAAAGACGCCTGAGGAATGACAATCGATGATTTGAACGATTTTACAAGACCTGGTGCATCAGCTTTGTATACTATAAGGAAAATTAGAGATAAAACTAAATAAAAACCGCTTTTAACAAAAAACGACATGTGTTTTTTGATAATTATTATCAAATAAACAAATTAGAATAAAAATGCTTCGAAGAGAAGTGATTTTACAAGACCTGGTGCATCAGTTTCATATACTATAAAGAAAATTCGAGGTAAAACTCAATAAAAACCACTTTTATCAAAAAACGAATTGTGTTTCTTGATAATTAACTTTGATTAATGAACTTGATTATTAATAAACGAGAATCCCCATAAAACATACTGGAAAATAAAACACCCTGTACAGTAAGAAAGGGTCTGATGAGTCTGAACTTATCAACTTATTAAACCAATGCCCTCTATAATGGAGAGGTACGATATAGCCTAGGAACGGACTTTCGTTTACCTGATCTGCTGTTTATACTTAGATGCTTTTTTTAGCCAACTGGACGCCGCTTTTTTCGATCATACGGTATATTGCTCTAATTCAACAACCATATCGATAGTTAATTTCTTCGATACAACCTAATATACTACAATATGATCGAAAAAAACGGCGTCAGGGATGGTTATGAAGTGTAGATCGCTGTCATTTTATATATAAAATTATATGAGAAATGTCATCGGTCGTCATTTCCAAGCCAAATGGACGCCGTTTTTTTTTCCGATCAGTATAATTATACAAATATTTAATTACTTTTTGATAAATTTTCTTCGACGAATAGGCAGGTTGTTATTTAAACTGATAACAAGTTGTGTCATTATCTAAAAATGTAATAAACATTATTCTTATCTGTTACCGCTAAATTTGCGTAGTTTCTGTGAACCTGTAAATTTCCGCAAATTATTACTACAAAATAAAACTACAAACAACCTGCACGAAAAACGGACACCTTAGTAATTGTTTAATATACATTTTTAGACACTCTGTATAAAATAGTATTATTTTTATTATTGGAACACAAAATGTAGTAAATTGAGAAACTTCAGTACAATATTTGGTTTTAAAAACTTAAATACGCCTAGAAAAATGAAGCATTAAAATTATTGTTACTGCATTTTCACAAAATCCTAATAGGTCAGTCAAATAAGATCTATTATAGGGGGTCACTACTGTCACTAGTTATAGTCCATTTCACTAGTCAGAAAAAGTAGCAACATAAGCGTTCGGCATTTAACGTTTTATGTAAAACTGGCTAGGTATTTTTACACAAATGAAGAAGGAAATTAAAGATAAAGGATTAATACTATATCCGTATTGTAGCACATTTTAGATAACTTCTTTATTTTTGAGATTTTAATGGTCAAACATCAACACAATATTCCTTATGTCTGGACTAAATTTTCTTGAAAATAAATACATAATTTAAAATTCCGTTACAATACGGAAATAGATTGAAGTTTTGTGATTACAGTGATATATAATTTATATAGTTTTGTAACAAAATGCTCGCTACTTTATGGCAAATGCTGAAGCTCTGCAAACCTTAATTAAGCCTTAATCAAAGCACGTGTGTTTGGAAGCGTATATTTTTTCTTTTATATTGTGACACTAAGTAGTATATATATATATATATATATATATATATATATATATATATATATATATATATATATATATATATATATATATTAATCAGTTTAAAACGTTCTACGTCTTCCGATGCCATCTTTCCATGGCTGTCTGTCTCTCCATGTCTATCTCCGAGAATTCTTTCTTCCATAAAAGTCTCAATCCTTTCCTGCCAACTTCTTCTCGGTCTACCCGGATTTCTTCTTCCTGTAGGTTTCCAGTTCATAATTTGCTTTGGGATTCTTATTTCTGCCATTCTTTGGACATGCCCGTACCATATGAGTTGACTGTTCTTTATGTCGTCCACTATCGTATGTTTAACTTCCATAATCTCTCTTATGCGTTCATTAGTTATTCGCTCGAGTCTTGATTTGCCTGCTGATCTTCTCCAAAAATCCATCTCTGTAGCTTCCAGCATTCGTTTTGTTGTTTCCTTAATTGGCCAGACTTCACAGCTGTACGTGGTTATACTCTTTATGATGGTATTGTATATTAGAGTTTTGTTCTTGTTGTTTATGCTTCTGTCCCACAGTATCCCATTCTTTAATTGCTGTATCCAACAGTCCATCATTTGTGATTTGCATACCCAAATATTTGTATTTTGTGCAGCACTTAATTTTCTTCCCTTCTAGTATTAGATCTTGTTGTTCTCCTCCGATACACATATATTCTGTTTTGTTAGTATTGATCTCGAGTCCCCATTTCTGATATTCTTCTATAAGCTTACGTGTCATATAATTTATGTCATCGTAATTTTGTGCTATGATCACCTGATCGTCCGCGAAGCAAAGTGTGTAGAGCATGTTATCCCCTGTGGGTACTCCCGTATTTCTACATTTTTGCTTCCAACCTTTGAGAACTTGTTCGAGATATATCTTGAACAGTGTTGGTGAAATACAGCACCCTTGTTTCAGACCTTTGGTTCCATTAAATCCTGTTGTTAACTTTTTGCCGACTTTTATTCTAGTTTTTGTTTGTTTATATAATGATTTCACTGCTTTTATTAGCTCTACATTTATATTGGTTTTTTCCATAGCTTCCCAAAGTCTCACAAGGGGAACGCTGTCGTATGCCTTCTGCAGGTCCACGAACACAAGATGTAGCTCTTGGTTTATATTGCTCTTTTTACTTATTACTTGAGTGTAAATAAGTGGTCTACCGTCGATCTTCAGGCTCTAAATCCTGCTTGTTCTTTGGCTTCTAGTTCTTGGTATTCGTTTTCGATCCTATTTCTCAAAATTTTTCCATATATTCTACTCACGGTGGCTGTTACTGATATTCCCCTGTAGTTTTCGCACTTAGTACGATCTCCCTTTTGGTATATAGTTGAGTTTGCCTCATTCCATTCTTGTGGTACATCCGTTCCGTTTATGCAGTCCTGGAATATTTTCCTTAAGTGTTCGTACAGTTTTTTCGGTCCTGATTTAATTAACTCTGCCGTTATATTTCCCGGTCCGGATGCTTTACGATTTTTTAGTGAGGTACATGCTTTAATTACTTCGTCCATTGATATTCTAATCAGGGATCCCATTGTTCTTATATTTGTCGTCACGGCAGGGCAGTCCATAAATTCGACTCTATTTTCCGTCATAAGATTTTCCATGTATTCTTCCCATTTTTGTGGTGTAATCTAATTTTCCCTTTCTGACATTTTTTTTTCACACTAAGTAGTACCCTATCTAAACAAAAACAGAAATATGTATTGCTTTATACAGTTTCTTTCGTGTATAATAAAATTAGCGGTGTATATGGTTGGGCAAATCTCCTTGTAGAGTGACGTCAGCAGCGAGCAGCGTGATTCGTCTGATTATCTAATTAAATAATCTCGTGACGAAGCCTTCAATTGAGTAACAAAAGAGCTACATTGAAATCGCTGCCTGCTGAAGAAAAGAATCGCAATATTGCGTTACCTAATGTTCTGTATTATTTTTTACCAGTTCTGACATATTCATTTTTATAATGGTATATACCGCTAGATGCAACAGTTACAAGGGTATAATTTTAACAACAAATTTAATATAATCAGACCAAGCAGGTAAATTGGACGCTTTTAATGGGAAACATCCTTTTCTATATGAGATAGAAAACTAATATCGGTGTCTGGAGCTCAACTTTTATCAAAAACATGATGGTGAAAACCGCACATGGATATCTGTTACCGTTTTGGGTGTTTTTCAAGAATGTGGATTTTTAACAAATCGCTGTAACTTTTTTATTATAGAAAATTTTGTATCTTTATTAAAACATTTCCAAAACACCTTTTTACTAGAAGACATGAGATTTTGATACAGGTGTTCAACATGTCAACCGTCTTCTGTTATGGACAGACGGGACCGTTTTTGAACATTTCTCGCGGAATTCATTATCTCAGTAGGGTGAAAGATACTCTTGCATAACCGCTAAGTACTTCTAATTCTTGTCTAGATTATACAGGCAATTTAAAAATAAGAACCTTTATTCTTCGGCATTTTCGACAAAGATAAAAAACCAAAGGCACTAAGTCCGGCAGCCTCGACAGCCAACAGCTGGGATCTTGGTAAGCTATTCAATTATTCTTGAAATTGGCTGAAAAAAATTGCTGATAACTGCAGCGTTCTGAGGCGGTACCTCGTCTTGCTGAAAAATATGTTTTCGAGTTCCATTAGGGACAGATCATCAATAAGGGGTCCAAAGCCTACTAGTAAAAATCGGCGAACTTTTAAGAATTCTGTATTTCGAAGGGGACTATAATAAAATAACAAGTGTGCTATATTTTTGGGAAGGTAATTTTAAATTCTTTTTTGTTAATTAAAAATATAGAGGGTGTCCCAAATAAAAAATCAATTTTTCTGTTGATAACTCTTAAATTATTCATTTAAAAAAAATATACTTAAACCCTTAAATTTTGTTTAAAAAGGTGTTTTGGAAATGTTTTCATAAAAATACAAAATTTTTCATAATAAAAAAATTACAGCGAGTTGTAAAAAATGCACATTTTTGAAAAACAACCCGTAACTCAGAAACGGTAACAAATATCGATGTGCGGTTTTCACCGTTTTCGTGTTTTTGATAAAAATTGAGCTCCAGACACCGATACTAGTTTTCGTCTATCTCCTATAGAAAAGGGCGTTTCCCTTTAAAAGCGTCCAATTTGAACCACCCTGTACTGTAATACACTAAATACTCCATACGACTATCTGAGATAGAAACTATCGAAAACATGGAGAAAAATGGAGTAAATAGTAACTAGATATCGGAATTGGAACTATTAGAACAGTTGTTTAAGAGTTTTTCCGAAAAACTCACCGGTTTTTAAATAAAAAAATATTCTAATATTTGAGAGGTGGTTTCACCCCTAGAATTCGAGTTTCGAAAAATCCCTTCTTATCGAACCTCTACACCTCTAAAGTCAATCCGTTTTCCAAAAATCAGCTTTTTTACGTCAAGCGCTTTAAGCAGGATCGTGATTAATCAATGACCAATTAATCAATTTTTTTCGAAACACCCTGTATACATTTTTAAAAAAATTCTTAAAATATGTAAAAAAAAAATAAAATATACGTGTTCAAGCGTTTTTTCGGAAACTTGACCGTTTTTTAAATAAAAATATTCTAATATTTGAGGGCGGTTTCACCCCTTAGAATTCGAGTTTCGAAAAAATCCCTTCTTATCGAACCTCTACACCCTAAAGTCAATCCGTTTTTCCAAAAAATCAGCTTTTACGTCAAGCGCTTTAAGCAGGATCGTGATTAATCAATGACCAGATTTTTCAAGAAACACCCTGTATACATTTTAAAAAATCTTAAAATATGTAAAAAAGAAAATAAAATATACGTTTTTAAGCGTTTTTTCGGAAACTTGACCGTTTTTAAATAAAAATATTCTAATATTTGAGAGGTGGTTTCACCCCCTTAGAATTCGAGTTTTGAAAAATCCCTTCTTATCTAACCTCTACACCCTAAAGTCAATCCGTTTTCCAAAAATCAGCTTTTTACGTCAAGCGCTTTAAGCAGGATCGTGATTAATCAATGACCAGATTTTTCGAATCACCCTGTATACATTTTTAAAAAATCTTAAAATATGTAAAAAAACAAAATGAAATATACGTGATTAAGCGTTTTTTCGAAAACTTGCCCGTTTTTTAAATAAAAAATATTGTAATATTCCACCCCCCTTTTTACCCTCTTAGGGGATGAATTTTAAAAAATCCTTTCTTATCTCACGTAAACATCATAAAAGGAACCCCTGTGCAAAATTTCAGCTTTCTAGGGTCAAGGGTTTGGTCTGGGCGTTGATGAGTCAGTATCAGTCAGGACAGTCAGATTTATATATATAGATATCCGTGTCCCACCAGTAAGGCTTCCTTTTCCTTTCATTATTGTCAATTGTACCCAGGACCTCAGAAGCTGCTTTGTGTATGCATTCCTTGATATAATAATAATGATTTTCCAAAGTTTCGAAACGTTGTTGTTGTAATTTTTTCTCTAATCTTTTTCTGTATAACATTTGCACGCTGGGGTCCTCGAGCGCTGTTAAGTTGTACCTTCTCTCTTCAATTTCTTTCGTTACATTTTCTATTTCTTTATATTCTATTTTTCTCGTTTATATGGTAGAAATATTTTCGCTTTTAGGAGGTGGTGGTCGCTACCGCATATCGCCCCTCTATATACCCTTACGTCTTGAATCTGTAGTTTTGTTTTTTGTTTAGTAATTACGTAATCTATGATAGATCTTAATTTTTTTGTGCCTTGTATCCACGTATATTTGTGTATGTTACGGTGTTGATAAAATCCATTGAGAATTCTTAAGTTATTCTGTTTGCACATGTCAATTAGTCTTTCTCCATTGTTAATGAGCGTATCTTCTCCATATTTTCCTATAGTAACATCATTATCACTTTTTCCGGTGCGGCTATTTAAGTCCCCCAACAAAAATATTTCTCTCGTTTTTCCGGTTTTTATAATCTCATCATTCAACTGTTGGAAGAATGTATCTTTTGAAGCTGTTGGTGAATCATCATTTACTGCGTATACTCCAATGATTGTTAATCTATATCCTCGAATATTCATATTAATCTTAATAATTCTTTCGCTGATTCCTTCCCAGGTTGTAATGTATTTTCTATATTTCCGATGTATCAAAATAGCCACACCCTAGCCCGCTCTCTTTTCTTTTGGAACGCCGCTATAAAAGTAATCATACATTCCTAAGTTCTCTGATCCTTGACTTTTTTTCTTGGTTTCAGTTAATACTACTAGGTCAATTTCTAATTTATTTATCTCATATAGTACTTCGTCCATTTTTCTGGAGATACCTTGTACGTTCCATGTTCCAAAGTGCATTATCCGTTTTCGTTGCTTGGTTCGTCTTCGTATATCAGATCCATTCCGAGGCATTTTGTTTGGCTTTTTAACATTTTTTAGGTTTTCCAGGTATCGAGGAGTTAGCCCGATGCCCCAACCCCCTATCAGGAGGGCCAAGATTTTTCTGTAGGGGTTTTCTCCCTTAGCCGATCTGTTCCAGTTTTAAGGCGCCGGAAAATCGCCTTTCACCCTCTTCCGTTAGCTGCGTAACGTACATCCATTGTACGCCACTCATTGCCCAGTGGTCACGGCAAGGACGTGGAAGTAGGATTTGCTAGTATGTCTTAGAGACTGCGGGCATTTCCCAGAGTTTTGTTACACGCAAGGCATCGGCAACCATGGGTGCCTCTGATACCCTCACACTAACCATTAGACCACCGTCCACAAGTAAACAAGTACTAGTTAAACGGTTTTCTTCAACGCACATACACCGGAAAGAAATCTTACAACTGAACTAACCTGTTTGTTTCACTTATTTTTAATGGTCAAGCCGTAAGGGGAATCCCCCGGGTTGCGAGCGTCGACGCATCGGCCCGGAACGAAGCGGTTTGATCTTGATTGAAATCGATTCGGTTACTGAGTAGTAATGTGTCGATCCCGCACATTCCGCACGGTAAATCCCGCAACTCTGATCCCGCATTTGGCGGGATCCAGCATTTGCGGGATTGCATTCCCTAGTCATGGCACATCAAAGTTTCATTTTTTTAAATGGAACCCCCCTGTATATTATTGCATATTTCGGTTCTTCCTTCAATTCCAAGCAAAAATCAAAATCACACAATGTACCTCAAACCAACCATTTTCGAGTTATTGACTTTTGAAAATATCACTTAAACAATTTGATTTAATTCATTTCGATATGTTCAGTTGTGGTTCAGTTTCATTTAACGATGGCCATTCTGGCGAAATTGAGATACTTTATTTGACATTAGTTCTCAAGTTATCTATACTAATATATAAAATCCTTAATTGACTGGCATACTGATTAATCACGATCCTGCTCAAACCACTCAACATAAGAAGCTCGCTTTTGGTATACAGGTTGATTCTAGGGTGTAGAGGTTCGATAAGAAGGGATTTTTCGAAATTCCAGTTCCAAGAGGGTGAAACCACCCCTCAAATATTACAATATTTTTTATTTAAAAAAACGGTCAAGTGTCCGGAAAAACGCTTAAACACGTATATTTTATTTTGTTTTTTGCATAGTTTAAGATTTTTTTAAAAATGTATACAGGGTGTTTCGAAAAATCTGGTCATTGATTAATCACGATCCTGCTTAAAGCGCTTGACTTAAAAAGCTGATTTTTGGAAAACAGATTGACTTTAGGGTGTAGAGGTTCGATAAGAAGGGATTTTTCGAAACTCGAATTCTAAGGGGTTGAAACTATCCCTCAAATATTAAAATATTTTTTATTTAAAAACCGGTGAGTTTTTCGGAAAAACTTTTAAACACGTATATTTTATTTTGTTGTTTTACATATTTTAAGATTTTTTATAAATTTATATAGGGTGTTTCATAAAATATGATCATTGAGTAATCACGATTCTGCTTAAACTGCTTGACGTTTTAAGCTGATTTTTGGCAAACGGATTGACTGTGGGGTGTAGAGGTTCGATAAGGAGGGGTTTCTCGAATCTCAAATTCCAAGAGGGTGAAAACGCCCCTCAAATATTACAATATTTGTTATTTAAAAAACGTCTTAGTCTTTCCGGAAAACGCTTGAACAAGCATAATTTATTTGGTTTTTTTACATATTTTGAAATTTTTTAAAAAACCATACAGGGTGTTCCAAAAAGTTGGGTAATTTCTTAACCACGATTCTGCTTAAACTGCTTGACGTAAAAAGCTTGTTTTTGGCAAACGAATTTTTCGAAAGTCAAATTCTAACGAGATGAAACTACCCCTCAAATATTACCAAGTTATATAATAATATCGCCCTATTGTTTTTTCTCATGCTGATAAATGTGAGAAAATTTTATCCAGTTTATACGCGGGTACATGCTAGTAAATGTATAAAATGAGAGTATATCAATTCTGAAAATGACAAAATTTTCGTTTAACATTTCAATTCTTCAATTTATGTTCATTGTGTATTACGATTATTTCTTAAAATTGAAGGAAGCATTGAAATATGCAATAATATACAGGGGATTTTATTTAAAAAAAAAGATAAAGTTTGATGTGCCGCAACTTTATGACCGACCCTGTATACTTAAATTTACTAGTAGCTAATAGGAATTTAAAAACCCATTACAACAGTATCACAGTTTCGGCAGAATGACATCATTAAATCAAACCAAACAGATCAAAATTAATTAAATCGAATTGTTTAAGTGATATTTTCAAAAGTCAATAACTCGGAAACGGTTGGTTTGAAGTACATTATGTATATTTTTATTTTTGCTTAGAATTGAAGAAAGAATTGAAATATGCAATAATATACAGGGGGTTCTATTTAAAAAAATGAAACTTTAATGTGCCACGAGTTTATGAACGACACTGTAAACTTAAATTTATTACTCGCTAATAGATATTTAAAAAATTTGTATTTAACTTTTTGCGGTACCTCCTATATGTTAATTAATAATCGACCGTTTCCACACATAAAAGCGACCCTATATATGGAAGCGTCTATATACAGGGTGAGTTTTCTAAAATGTTCTCTATGGGTATCTCGGAAACTACTGGAGCTAGAAAGTCGGTTAAATGGGAGAAGAATTGCAGTTTTGTGGAGTCAGAAATATGCGCCTTTCGGATTTTTGAAAAAATGTATGGCTTACCAGATATATTTGGAAAATAACAAATTTCGCCTATTTTAAAAATGCTTTCTAATTCCATTATAATCTATTTTAGGAAAAAGGTTTCAGATAAAAGTTGTAGATATAGGCCAGTGCAAATAATTTTGAATTTGCAAACATTTTTAGAAAGCTGCGACCATTCAAAATGGTTTGCATTAGTAACCCTTATTAACATACTAAAAGTCCCCATTTGTCCGGTGTGTGCGTCATCAAAAAAAATCGACCGCCATCTTGAATTTTGGTACGTTTTGGGAAAAAATGTAAATAACTCGAAAACGGTGCGTTATAGTGAAAAACTTCAAGAGGTAAAAATTAAAGATAATTAGAAAGTCTATCAGAGTCGGTAAAAAATAGTTTATTATCCTAACGCAGTGACGTACAAAATTTTTTTAAAAATCGAGCAATTTTTAAAAAGAATCACCGAAATGCAAATTACTAATTTTTTAAGCTTATTAACAAATGACATGGATATTTAGCATCAATTCAACTAAAATACAATCCTTGTGACATTTTCAAGAAATATCTATTGGTGGTTTACTAATATTTCAAAATTAACAAAAATTGTGAAAGCTATCCTTTACTAAATACATGTGTACTAATATTGTGCGAAAGCAGCCTCCACCTTGTCCCGGTCGGGGCTATTTGCACTTAAACCAAGGCCTTTTTGTTACCATTTTGTAAACAACTTGTTTTTAAAAATACAGTGACAGTTTGAAAAATTAGGCTACAGGTTGGAAGAAAACAATAAAATGTAAGAAAGTACTTGCGAATGCCTTTTTGACATAAATATCATCTATCATTTATGATCTTAACATTTTTTCATTATGATAAATACATTATAAAAGTTTTTTTTTCTTTGTCTTAAACCTTTAGAATTATATCAATATATATATTTTTTTTCCTTTCTTGGGTATGAGGTTTTTTTTATTAATTGAAAATGGAAACTTTTTTTTTATTATGCGACGTTTCTTTATTATGCCCACCATGATGAGGGTGGGCTTTCTGAGAATGTGTCACATTCTTCTATATAGACTGGTGGTAGCAAGGCGGCTGCGGCGTCAAGAATAAAGTGCCTGAGAAAGCCCACCATGATGAGGCGAAACGTCGCATAATAAAAAAAAAGTTTCCATTTTCAATTAATAAAAAAAAACCTACTACCCAAGAAAGGAAAAAAATATATGTATGGATACATTATAAACATACTCCTACAAATCGAATAACAATAATTCAAATTATGACCATTTTAATAAAAATGTGTTACCAACTTGTAACCTAACGTTTCAAACTCTCATCTCTAGAAAAAAAATGAAGTTTACAATTTTATTCGATTTGTTCTTCATCGACGATATTTGTTTGTTGTCGCAAGAAATACCATGACAATTACCACACACCACATAAGCTTGAACATGGCATATTGGATTTTAAACATGTACATAGTATATTACATCCAGATTTGCAATTACAGTAAATCATTTTCAATACAAATTCTGGTGCCACTGCGTTTGACATTGTTTTTGGAACTAAGGTATCCGTTTTTTACACCATCCCCATTCTGTTGCCTCTTTTCCGTTATTTGCCATTTGTAAATAGGTCCTATAATAATGATTTTCAGCTGCGTTAGTTGTTGGAGGTAAGGTAGCTAAATCAAAGTTTTACCAAGTACCTGACGAGATGTAAGGGTTTTATATTTTTAATACCTCAACTGATCTAAATCTTTTGTTAGCCTATGTCGACCATATAATGAAAATAAGAAAGTATTTCCAGCTTCGACTAGCTCAGATTTTTGTGCTGCAGGATCTAAAAAAACGGATGTAATTTGTCGAAGATGAGGATCTTTTTCCAACGTTTTGAAAGTCGTCAGTTTACCTTTTTTAAACAAGCACGAGGTTGTATCACATCCTGATATA